TTGCGCACCCCAACTACTTTTTTTTATTGGGACGGGAGGACGGTGGAAAATACCACCTCTTTTTTTTTTTTTTTAATATTAGTATGATAATGAAATATGATTTATTAATAAATACTAAATAAAGTAATGAGAAAAAAAAAAAAAAAAGTCTTCAAAATACTAGGGACGCAGTTTTCAAATTGTTAAGTTGAGCTCCCCTACTTATTTTTGGCCAATTCGAGCACTGGTTTGATTCAAAAAACACTACAATAATATGTAGTAAAAACATGATATTTTACATGTATATTAACACAAAAATTTGAAACTTTAAATGTTTATATCTAATAAACGAATAAAGTTATATTAAAAATTCAAATGCCATTTGATATTAAATTAAAAACTCAAACATTTTATTAAATTCAAAATATGTGTTCTCATTTAAAAAAACTCAAGTTAATGTTTTTTAACCTTGAAGGGATGAAAAATATCATGTTTTTACTACAAATTATTGTAGTGTTTTTTGAATCAAATAATATGTTCCTTAACAAACATTTTTAATTTTCTATAGTTACTGAGTAAACGAGTGTCTTATCCTTAATGAATCACCCGTATATATACGGTATAGATATATTTCAATAATTGAAAAAAAATATATTTTTGCACTCGGTCATAAGCACAGAAATATTGACATAAACATCAATTGTTGGATAATTACTGTATAAATTGTTTCACAATCAAAGTTAAAGGAGAAAGAAAACTAAATTGCACGCAGCAAAACCAGTTATGGTGAACGTCGGAAACGGAATAGAACGCATATCAGTAATCCATATTCGATGGCGGTCTTGTCATGGTGTCAAGGGCGAGAAGATACCCGATGATAACCGATTGTCATATCAATAGCTGGAAGGCTGATATCGAGAGAGACAAGGATGAGCGCCAGCCTAGAGCGTACGGCGGTGCTGTGTCAAACTATATATGTAATCAAAAAAATATTATTTTTATGTAAGAAGTCACCGTTTTTTGTATTGTCATAATTTCTTTTTTTTTTATCAATTTTAATTTCGATGCAAGGCTAAGATGATATTAATTTTTTATTCCTATATTTTAGTTCTTACGGTATAGTCATATAAAAGGGAGCGTTATGAACCTCCTATTTATGATTCATAAGGAGGATAAATAAAATCACTATTTTAATCACTGTTAGATATCATCTATACTTTTCCCAACTATGCCACGTCCATATTGTGGCATGATCCCACTGTGTTGCCGTTTTTTTTTAATTTAATTTGATAATAGGAATAATAATTTCAAAAAATTTTGTTCTAATCATTTTTCTATTCAATGAACGGGTTTTCTATATTGCTTGTTTAGTTTAGCTATTTTTTACCAATTTTGTATGGATAATTTACTATTACTATAAAGTAGATGTTTCTTTTTAATGAAAACATGTATGTATAACCAACATGTTTTTGGTATGAAAGACGTAGTAGCAAAATTTGTTCCAAAATTGTTGTACAGGAGTCACTTAATGAAATCAACGAATTACTGAAACGTATTATAATAGATGACGAAAAATGAGTTTAGATATGGCGTCGAAATTAATGCTTAATTATTTCAGTGGATGCATTCTGGATCGCCAAGATCGAACGTGAAGGTTATGCTTACTGTGTTCTTTGATTTTAATGTCGATACTCCAGTCTCCATATTCGCCAGATATGACTCTGTGTGACTTTTTTCTATTTCCAAAAATTAAGCGAAGCTTAGAAGACCGTAATTTTACAAGCATTGATGACATTAAAAGCGCATCGATGAATGCTATTCCAAAGATCGAGTTTGAGAAGTGTTTCGAGGATTGGAAGAAGCGTTGACACAAGTGCATAATATCTAATTATTGATAAATTATTATGATTTTTAGAATTTTTTTTTAACGACAACATTAATGTAGAAAAATAAATAAATATTTATTTAAAAAAAACGAAAAGTCTCGTTATATTTTAAACACACCTCTTATATACACTTCCCAATATGTAGTATTTATATCCATTAGTATTAATTTAAAATCGTTTTCTCATTTGCTTTTGAATAATTTTATGAATTTTTTAAAACATCAAAATAATTTGAATATAGTAACATTTATGTCAAACCTTAACGAATAAGTTATGATGGACATATTTTATAGTTTTTAATAATATTATTATTACTGATTTTCATCATTTAGTTTATAAAATCTAAGGAATTTGTCAAATTAATTCAAAATTATGATTCAAACACTAATAACAGCGTTTTCAATAAGAAATTAAATTGACTAAATTTGATTCAATAAAAGTCAATGGCTTAATATTTTTTTTGTTAGAATTTTAGATGGTATTTATATAAAATATTTTACGAAAATATATTAAATTTAATGTTAATAAACATTTTGCAAAGATCAATTCTTTCTTTTCAGAAAAAAATGCAATGCAATTAGATTTCTTAGATTTCGTAAACATGATGGAGACACATTATCACAAGCTTGCTCATCATTTATTTCATAATTCTGATGTTGACAAAGATGGTTATCTTAGCACTAAAGAATTTTTTAATTTTGTATCATACATCACAGATTATAAAGATTTGACCATCGATGAAATAGAACCATTAATTAAAAAATATCAAAAAGCAGACATTAAAGGCTTAAATTTAGATGGTAAGTGTTTTAATTTTATATATATAAAAATGACAAAACATAATAATAAATTGAAATAAAACGCCCATACAAAAACACTTTTACTTTTAGTCGTGAGATATGCATATATAATTGAAACATCAATGAAAAATAAATTTCAGTTGTTACTAAAAATATTTTTGTGACTTTTAACGATAAATATTTTTATATTTTTAAATTATTTTTATTTTTCAAATTAAACATGATACGGTACTATTTTCTTTCAGCCACATACGACACGGGTTTTAATCCCATACAGTGTTTCATTTTTTACACCATTTCACATACACTTTCGAGGACCGGCAGTTATCTTTGGTGGCCGCATCAAACATCAATATTGAACAAACCTTTTTTTATTAAAGATAATATCATTATAATTTGACTATCAAAATGAGATAATTTTTCGATCTAACTATAAATTTTCATATAACATTATTATATCAACTTTAAATTTATTAATTTCAGATTAATGTGATAAATTAAAAATAAATCTTATCTTACTTAATGGTTAAATTATTTAATAATAGCTACTTCAAAGAAAATTTTCAACATTTTATGAAAATGAAAAGTTTTTTAATTGTAAAGAAATGTGAATTTTAAAAGATTATTATCTGCTAATTAATATGATATGAAAGTATTTACATAGAAATTATTTTTGTTTCAGAGTTTATACATTTTATTTGTCGTTCTAGATATAAAAGTATTCGAGAAATGAAGATTCGCTCTAATAACAAGTTTCCAACAAACAAGCATTGATGTGTCTTTATAATAAAACAACTTTTGATTTTTTTTATTTCGTGTCATATTTTATTATTTAATGTCGTTCTTATAATAAAACTTATTGTTAACATAAATTGTTAGTTTCACACACACACACATATATATATATATATATATATATATATATGTTAGTTTTATATTTATAACTTAAATAATCAATTCAAATTCACTTGTTTGTCAATACAAGTATTGGCATTAATAATAAAGTTTAAATAATTTTATGTTTTTCATTGTAGTTGTACATGTATTACTATAAATTAGCGACAAAGATTGAGATTATTTATGGGAGAGCTTTTGAACGCATAAACCCTACTCATATTATTTAATAAATGTAATAAAAGTTGAGATAGAGGATTTGAATACCTCAGTCCCACCCCTTACCTATGCTATACATGTTAGAACAAAGAATTTCCTGTAATTAAAAATAATAATTGCTTCAGAAAACTCCTTATATCATTTGTAATTATACTGAAACTGTAAAATTTGATAAATCAAATAAATTCGTTTGTTAAAAAATTAAAAATATAATACAGATTAACGATTAATATAATACTGTAGAACTTATAAGCTATTATGTGTTACTATTTCATAGAATTTCATATTTATATCAAACTCCAATAAACTAATTAAACTCTAAATTTTAAAATAAAAATATGCATATTGACTAAAAAAAACCCAATAAAAAATCAATGGAATGTAACTAAATTTTTAGGATACCTCTGTATTGTCTCTAGTCAAGCTTGATAAAAATTCCAGGTTTTAAATAAAAAATTCTGGCGATAATGAACGTTTATGCCAAAATTTATTATTTTAAAATTTATTTACACACTTATGAAGTGCAAAATACTTATTATCTTGGCGAATGATTTTCTCAAAATAATGACGCCCAGATCTTTCATCGTTACATAATTTTTCCATTATTGGATAATTTTTCTACATTTTATTATGTAATAAGATAATGAATTATACACTAATAAATTTAACATTTTATGAGAATATTTAGAAAAATAATTTTTTAAAATTAATGTTACACAATATAACTATCTATATTTGTACATTATGTAAAAAATATTATTATAATTAAATACAGTAGTATGGTTTTATCCCCACGAAATTAGGTCAGTTGTTTAGTAGAGGGCAAAGCGTTATACGAGTCTATTTATCATCAACCTGTAATGAAGACCCTGCCGGAACTAAACTTATCCGTACGCTACTGATTAAACTTAAATCGTTTACTGGTATTTCAAAGAATATCTAATTTATTTAATAACATAATTACCACATTCACGAAATCGGGCGATTAAAGAGTTTCTAAATAGTCATCAAAGTATTTAGTTTGACAAAACTCAATATTGTAAGGCTTTACTGGTTTATGAGCAAGTAAAAAACAGGTGATGAAAAAATATGTATGTGGTAATTGACGGCAACCATTGCCAGAATCATTACTTGTGTGGCTTCGGCTTTGTTCGTGTATACTCGGCAAGCCGAAGATTTATATGAAGAGCCCGACGCAGTTTTGTTTACAGTGTGTGCACGCTGACGCAGTGGTTAGTTAGTTTTTGGTGTACGGGTTCGTGTTATCGTCGTTTGACGGCGCTGACAGACGCGTTATCAATTAATGTTTATTATGTTAAAAAAAAATTTCTTAGTTAAGAATAACTTTTAACGAAAGCTATTTTATTATAGTGTGTTCTGTTTTGAAGTAATATAGTTCAGTCGTGGAATTTTTTGGTTATAGCTATTAATCTCGAAAAACATTGAGTAGATAGTGCGCAGAACAGAACGTATTCGGAAATTTCAATGCTGGACAACTAAAAACGTACTGGTAAGTTAATATCATTTATGGTTTAAAATTTAATAGAAGCGTTGATAGAATTAGATAATAGTAATGCTATATAGATACTGTAGTTTTTGGAAAAAAATTGTTTTCAAATATTTTATTCCTACAACCTCTAGAGTATTGATAAGTAACCCTGATATTTTGCGAACATTAAATTAAATCTTGTTGTTTGTAGTGATAAATTATCGTTTGTTAACCGCTGTTTTTTTAGTAAAGAAATTTGAATTATTATATTATATATATTTCACAATATTTATTTAAAAATAATATTTTTAATTTTTTCATAACATTTGTATTTCTATTATTTATGAAAGCTAAAAATAGTTGTCTTAATCAAGTTTAAGTTTTTGCATATCAACTATGTTTATTTTTCTTTAAGATAATATCAAGGGTTGCTATGAATAAATTATTATTAAATAATTAAATATTGTTTTAAGTTATTTCTTTGCTTGTAAATTAGTATTAAGTATTCATATAAAAATTTACAAAATTTGGTTTCAACCTTTTTAAAATAGTTCTTGGTTGTGTGTAACATTTCTTAGAACCAAGTCAAATAAATTATCAACTATTCTCAATATTGGTAAAGTATTCATAAATTACTAAATTTGGCAAGAAATGTCATAAAAATATAGTTCCATCTAGAAATTAAGTGTGTATTATGATAATTAAACTATTGTATAGTAATCTTCATTTAATCTCTAATAACAATTTTATATATTTAATGGTATTTACGTCGTCTTTCAAAGAAAGGAAAGTTCTTGACGTTATTGTCAATCATAATTCATTATAATTATATTGTCTTTCAATAGTCCGTAAGATGTTCATCCTAATGCGCTTATTATTATTGTTCATGTTTAAGGTGAGAGCTGGATTCATAAATTTTGAGAACAATTATAATTGATATTTTTAGTTCAACAAAAAAACTGGAGAAAGCGTTATCGACATAACATTATCATGTTTGAATCCTTATACTTTTTGTTGTTTTCGAGAAAATTCATTTTTTATGTAATGTGCGAATACGTGATATTGCTATAAGCCTAACCGATGCCATTTAAATATTAAATATCACTGTAAACGTAATAAATTATAATATAAAAATGTTTATAAAAAAAAAAATACTTTATAAGAAATTAAGAAAAATGACCATTATAAACTCATTAAAATTATGATGATGCAATAATATCCTAAGCAATTTTCCTTGTTAGTATCAAACTTTTTTATTCATTATGATTTACGTAAAATATTTTTTTGTAATGACTTTATGAAACACATTTATAACACATTTCTATTGTGTTTAATGTCCTATAAATTCGCTGTATTCAATTTTATGAAATACCAATTATATTTGATTATTATGTACAAATTAGTGTTGCTATTTTACTAAATGATAGTAAAATGAATTATGTGTTAACTAATTTACGATGTACCGCAGTATTCTTTGTTCCTGTTTGTGGTCTTTTAATCAACAAATATTATTTTATAATTAAATGTATTGATTCAGATAAAAATGTATTGTGTATTTAGAAAAGAAAGCAGCTTGTAATGAAAAAATAAAAGGATTTTTTTATTGTTTCTATGGATGAATAGAGATGATTTGTTAAGTTATTTTTATAGGTATATTTACTTAAATAGTATAATTATTGTATTCAAAGATTCTTAAAAATATTTTATTCAATTTTACCAAGTTCTACAAATAAATGCGAGAAAATTTTTTTTTAAATATTATAACCTTATCAAAATTTATTCGTTCATTTCAAAAATTCGTCATGACTTTCTGTTATTTCATACATATACTGATAAAATTGGTTGATATATTTTTATTTTTTAAATTTTCACACAAATATTGTTCAGCGCCTATTGTATTTTTAACGAAAATTCGTTCTATATAATTATTTTGCCCACGGAAGTTGTTTACTTTTTTCTGAATAAGAAAATAAAATATATTACATTGGGTTTTACTTGTACTACAAAAAATGTGTATTTGGGTCAAACTTATAAAATAACTTACAGTTTATAGTTTGGCTTAATAATTTTTCATTGATTTCTACCTATCTATAGGCGTTTTTAATAGTTCTGTAAAATACATTCACGTATGTTTTATTGAACTAGTTATTCTTATATTTAACCAACATACAATAATGTCGCTGAGTATTTCTTCATATAAAATACCAGTCAATGTCATTAGGCGTATAGGTTAGTTATTTAAAAAAAAAAAAAAATGATAAAAATACAAAAATGTTTTTATCTATAACTAGTCATAATAAAATGTATTACGTTTAGGGAGTGTATTCTTGTGTATCCAAGAAACAACAATTTTGGTAGCTCTAGCATTCAAACAAATTTGTGATTTATCAATATTTTAGAATATATTTTTAATTTGAGAAATAAATTTCTTTATCCCATCGCCATAAGTTTGATATATTATTAATATTTAATTTTAATCATTATAAATCTGTTTAATTGTCATTTTGAAGTTAATTGTACTGAGAATAATATGTTATAAGTGTATACAACTTCAATATGCATATATAGAATTCACACTTTATGTGTATTTTTGATGTTTAATGTTTTTGACACCATTGATTTTCTTGTTAATACGTTTATAGTGATTTGTCGGTACTCTAAGGGTTGTAGATGTAAGTATAGGTTGCATTCTTAAATATGTCAGCAGGTGTTCGAACGACTATCCCTCAGAGTGAAGTCAATCCTTGTTGCCTCTAAACTTCTCTTTTCCGAGGAATTTTAACCGATAAATTAGATGCAGTGTATCGTTTTTGAATTAAATACACTTCGATTATTAGAATTATGTTAATGTTTGTGGGTGATACCTATTGTTTGAGTAGTCTGTATAGAAATGTGATAAACTTATATTTGATAAACAGTATTAATACAGTTATTTTTATCCGGATAGTATTTATACTGGTAGATTATTTAGTATAATAATTTTATAACTCTAAAATGTATTAAAAGTGAATTTTAATTGTTAATATCATTAGGCGTACTTCAACACTTATAATTGGGCCGTAGTTGTTTAATTTAATGATTTTGAGGTTCTGATACTCAATGGTGCACTGAATGTGTGTTCAGATCAATTTTAAAAATGTAGATTAAACAATTTTAGATGTGCGTTATTATTTTTGTATAAATTAATAATTTTTGATTACTTTAAAGTTACTTAATTATATCATTACTCGTTTAATTAATTATTGAAGTATAACAGCTTAAGTTTTGTGCTGTTCAATAAATAAAAATTAATGTCTATAAATGAAGTGATCATAATTTTTGTTTGTCAGTTAAATAGTATAAAAACTCAATATGTTTGATAATTTTTAGACATATTTTAATTTTAAATAATTCTATTATTACCTACCAACTACCAATTGCCTAGTGAGTAATTAATTATATTGTCATGTAGGTCAAATTAATATAACTTTAATAACTAATACTCACTAATGATTTAATTAGTTGCAATTTTTTGTTTACGTCGAGTTCTTTGAACTATTAATGGCTATTATTTTGGTCATATAACCAATTTAGGTGTGAGGTATTTTTGTAGTCTCACGCAAGTCGAGTTCAGCTTAATTATTTTTCATTTTATCTGCCATTTGTTTCCTTTTTTAGCTTCGATGCGAAACTGAGAAGATATTTTTATGTATTTAATTTTAATAAGTGGTCAACGAATTTCCGTTATGGTAATGACTATCATCTGATAGTAGTGATGATTTTTTTTATTGTTCTGATTACATCATAATAAATCATATATGTTTGAAGTCAACTTCAGTGTATTTAAAATGATACCTGTATCAAAAGTGATGAAATAAAAATGTACACTGGTTTAAATCATTAATAACGTTGTAGAAATTATTACGATCTTGTTTCGTAAGATGTGAGTATCTTGGAAATGAAGCAAAGAAGAAACAAAGAACGTAAAAAAATTAGATCCTTCCACATAAGTAGTCAGATCAAGGAGGATGGGATTTGTGTACAACGGCGGTGCGTTTACGATGGTAATCTCAATGTGTTGCGTGCGCCTAAGGGAGGAGAGAGGTGGTTTAAAAATAAGAACAAAAAAATCCAGTTTTAATATTACCGACGTCCCTAGATAGAAATTGTACAGGACAATATATAATGTGCGTCTCAACTGCGTAGAAATGTGCGCCAACATCTGGTAAGCTACATTTCCCCTTAGTCGTTGTTATGTCACAGTTAGTGATTAAATCGGGTAATAACAATCGTGACACGTTGTAGGTGGAGAGGAAGCCTAATTTACCCCTAGTTTATAGAACACTGGCAAAGCAAAACTATTCCGGTCTTACAAGTAGAAAATAATATTAAACACTGACTATGCGTTCAGTGTGCAGTACAAATCATTCACACAATCAAGACATGGTTGAAGTAATGATAAAAACAATAATTATTTTTATTCAAACACGATTTTGCAACGTCGGTATATGTTTCGTTCTATTTAAATCGCTTTGGGCGTCGTCAGCAGTAGCAGTTATGTTTATAATTTATATGGTAGCGCGATTTTTACACGAACCGAGATTTTTAAACTTATACAACACTGAGCTGGACAATTCGGTCTCTTTACAGCAGTTTTTTTCTTCACCATGTCTTGCGTATAATGATTGATTAATGGAGAACCGGTAGCAAACGATAGTGGGTGCTGTACCGTGTTTTCGCATGCAATGTGCGTATTGTATTTGTATAATTACAGCGCCAACGTTCATAATACTTTGTTTACATTTTTTAAAGTAACAGAAGCGTAACGAAAAAGACGTATGATGTTAACGACTTTTCCGGTATGTATTTACTATACAGTTGCATACAATCCGTCTACGAGTTCTAAAATAATGCCAAGAACACAGTCGAGCGTTTGGTCCAAACGGTTGTTTTTTATTGCTTTCGGTCGTCGATTGCCTCCGTCTAGATAATTATAAAATGACCATCTATCCCTATATAATGTTTGTGTGCTGGCTTCTTAC